AAAAAGTAAATAATAACCGCCACAGGGGGGAGGGGCTGTCCGCGGGGGCCGGGGAGGGGCCGGACACAGACAGAGAGAGCATCGACCTCAAAAAGTAAATAATAACCGCCACAGGGGGGAGGGGCTGTCCGCGGGGGCCGGGGGAGGGCCGGACACAGACAGAGAGAGCATCGACCTCAAAAAGTAAATAATAACCGCCACAGGGGGGAGGGGCTGTCCGCGGGGGCCGGGGAGGGGCCTGACACAGACAGAGAGAGCATCTACCTCAAAATGTAAATAATAACCGCCACAGGGCTATTGCTTGTTACTTTATAACTTATATTATTACTCTAGTATGACTGGAACTAATAACATTAGTATTACTGTATTATTAAAACTATTTTATTATTATTGCTTACTTATTACTATATTATTATTATTACTGGAAATAATAACATTACTGTATTATTACTAAAACTAGTAACATTGTTACTTTATTATTGGAACTAGTGTCATTATTACTTTATTTGTACTTGACTAATACTGTATTATTAATTTATTACTATAGTATTACACGAACTTGTAACGTTATTTCTTTATTAAATAAATAGAAATAGGTATAAAGACCTACACGTAACAGTGTAGAAAATGGAGTCTAAGAACATAAAATCATAAAATAAAATAGTTTTAAACATATTATGTCCATATATTATAAACATAAATTTTTAAACATTCTCATATAAAAGTGGCTTAAAAATGGAAATTAAACCTAATGAATAAAATTATAAAATATATGGAAGGAAGTACTCCAGATCAGAAAAGATGATTAAAATTAAGATAAAAGAGAGATAGAACCAGAAAGGATGGGAGAGAGGTAATAGAAGGATACATATAGTGATTATCCTTTCGAAGAGTGGATATTATGGATTTTATTTTTGAAAGGAACTTATAAAAGGGCATTAAGTTCAAAGTCTATATTTAAACCTTTTGGGTTCCAATGTGTCCAGGATGAAAATCCACTTAGTTTCTGTCTTGTCTAGTTCTTTTTTTTTTCTCATTTATCATTTTTATTGAATGACATTTGCAACACATAACATGGTACATAATTACAGTCTGCTTTTACAACAACATTTGCGGATAACATTCTACATTTCGCCCTGTATCCGGCCATACTTCTCACTCCATTAAACCAATAACCAATTGAATATACAATAATCCGTATGCCAGGTGATGTTCGGTGTGATGCATACAGCTTCAAAGCATGCGGTACATTTTTTAAATATAACTAGGGAGGGGATGGGGTACAGAAGGAAAAAAGGGGGGGGGGGGAAATCCCTGATCACAGCTTCACGCCACAGCCTGCAGTACATTATGAACACCTTCCTTGTGCAATTTGTGAGGTTGGTGAGACTATATATTCGCCTGGGCACCTCAACGCCCTGACCCCTTTGGCCCCCTAATGTTTGCGCCTGTGTGCTTCCTTACTGGCCCGCTATGGGGGTTAACCGTTTGGTTCGAGCAGTCGGCTTGTCTTAATTGTCATTCAGTGACTATGTAGCCGTCCAACATACCCATTCTTTATCATACTTTCCTAGGCATCCTTTTAGCTTGCTAGCCATTTTCTCGTATATACTAATCACATTCATTTTGTTGATAATCACCTCTACCTGAGGAACTTGTTTGCTTTTCCAGTTACCAGCTAAGGCTACTTTTGCTACCGTCAGTATATTCAGAATCACTTTTTTGTGAGGGTGTGTGTCTAGGTCTGGTATAACATGTAATAAGTACTTGTCCGGTCGCAATGGGATGGAGGTGCCAGTCGTACTTGAGATCAGGGTTTGGATTTGTTTCCAGAATCCGTCTAGCAGCGGGCATGTCCAGAACACATGTAACATGGTTCCAGTGTCCGACTCGCATCTCCAGCACAAGTTCGAAGCTCCTGAGTACATACTTGCTAGTCTCTGTGGTACCAGATACCACCTCATAGTTATCTTGCAGTAGGCCTCCCATAGCGAGAGACTACTCGATGCCTGTTTTGTATTTGCCCTTGCAGACTGCCAGTCTGCTTGGGAGATTTGAAATCCCAGGTCCTGCTCCCATTTTGCCATGTATTCTAGTTTATCTGGAGTGTTATCTGTGACCAACGCATTGTAACATAGGGAAAGTGGTTTTACTGCTTTTGTCAGTGATAAGTGGCTTGGTTGGAGTATCGGAGAGTTAGTTCGGGCGACTGTTTGTTTACCATGGGTTAGTATTATGTTTTTGATCCTTAAATAAAGGTACAGATCTCTCGAGTCTAACCCCAGTTCCTCTTTCAATTCAGGGAATGGTTTCACCGCGTCTCCTGACATTAAATCCCTCACTAATCTCGCTCCCTTGTTGAGCCATTTGCCCACCTGTATGCCTGGGGAGTAGGCTGCTAGTGTCGTGATGGGTGCTTCCCTAAATAATCGTACCGGGTCTAGCACCTTCGGACACCATGTCTTCCATGCTTTAAGCATAGTGATCGAGCATCTCAGGGTTATGTCGGCGGATGTTCGGGGCAAGGAACATGTCCACAAGTAATGGACTGTATCATGTGCCTCTAGGCATTCATTTTCTAATGACAGCCAAAGCGGCTTACGAGGAAGGGTATGGTTCCTAATGAGTCGCAGTCCCTGTGCCAAGAAAGAGGCCCTATAATACGCAGTTACGTCCGGCATCCCCAGTCCACCTTGGACATAAGGAAGTCCCAGACACCCTTTATTCACTCTCGGGGGTTTCCTCTTCCATATGTGAGCATTGATCGTGCTTTGGAATTGTTTGATCAGCG